ACTTTTGGGACGCAGTGTATATGGTAGGATAGTGGGATAAGTTCATTTTCCATTGTTATCAGGGAAATGATGGCTAAAGAAAACTTTAGCCCCATTGAACCTTTACTCAGCAGTGTGGTGGTCACAGATGTCGTGAAAATGTCCCCTTATCCTTTCTTATCAATTGATAAAATTGCCTGTCTCCCGTCAACAGTGTGGCTATCACTAAAACTGTATAATTTGGTAGTGTTAAGGCTCCAGCACTTCGACTGAACAACAACAGCAACGTTCCTCATCAGCCCCTATCAGCTGTTATCTCTTCCGGTCACCCGCCGTCGCCGTCCCCATCTCCCTCTTTATATCATTTGCTGAAATCAACGCCTAGCTGATGCTGTTTATCGCGTTATGGATACGGTAACCTTCCCCATTCTAAGTACCCTTACCGAATATTATCAGCTGCTAGCAGTTCTTGTCACCCACTAATGGTAGTCCTGTCCCACAGCCTATAACATACGTTGAAACTAACGTCCCATTGTTGCTGTGACCCGCGCAAAGAACTCCGTACCCCTCCTCTTTTGACGCCTCTTATCAGATCTCATCAGCTGGTATCAATCCCTGTCACCCACCAATAATGTTCCCGTCACAGCCTGTGAATTACTGCTTGGAACCAACTACCTACGCAACTGGGACGGTCGCTATGAATTTCGTGACAGACACACACAAGGACATACATAGAGGATAAGTGAATCCCGTCCGTGGTCCGACTTTTGCCCACAACTCAGCATTCTTGTGATAACATTCTAAATAATTATACCCCATTAGTCGGTGCTATTAAACAACTCCGATTTTCACATCCCACTAGACAAGAACTTTTATGAGATTGGACTTTCATATCTTATTCGGTCTCTGGTCACGACTACGGCATTACTTTCAGCTGTAGTGCCATATCGCCATCTTGGACTGGCTTCTTTCTCCCGCTATGAACACTCATATGATGGCTTCTTAGGGCCATTCTGACGCCAGATTGCGTCGACGTCAAGAATATGTGTCAGAATCGTGATCAATACCATCGATTACCGCTATAGGCAAACTTTCGTCCAGAAGTTTTTTTTGACTTTTTTGAGTTGTGATGGACCATTTGGTCGGCAATAATGACCGGAGTCCCACAACTTCGGAGTGTTGATGACGTAGCGATGTCGTGGTGGGCTGCCGGGCAGCAGTATCGCGGATTCGGTGCTTATAAGGTCTAATCATACTTGGAATGGGCATAGGTGGCCGCAGAACAAGTGAAAACGATCCTGCACATCTGTCGACCCCCGCGACTGCTCGCTCAGTGAAGATGTTGTCCTTCGCTACAGATAAGAGACTCATCCGATTTCCTTTCCATTTCAAATGCACCTGGAGGAATGATAACCGTTTTGTTCTTTTTTCGATGACGTTCATCGTTGTTGCTAGATTTTTTCTGTCACCGTACCACTGAATGAGGGTTTCGGTAACCAGCAAAAGTACGACTTCAACAGAGTGACTCTTGAGCATAACCCGATACACAAACTCAAGGAAGCAAAAAAATTTTTTTGGCTGAAAGTTTGCCCATAGGGGTAATCGATGGTCCTGGTCACGATTCTGATACTTATTCTTGGCGTCAACGCAACCTGGCGTCAGAAAGGCTCTGAAAGTCCCTCAAACGAGTGTACATAGCGAGAGTGGGAGAAGGAAGTGGCTCCGAAATGGCGATGTGGCACTACAGCTGAAAGTAATGCCATAAAAGGTAGATATACTGGTAAAATTCACATACAGACATATATGGAAGCGAGAACAGCGGAACATAAAAAATGCCATCCGATCGTTGTAGCTGAATACCGCTCCAATCATTGAAGAAACTATTCCGACGAGCTGCTCAGAGCTACTCGCTCCTAAGCTCTGCCTCAAAAAAGTCCCCGTTTGCGACTATTTCCCTCCTCGATTCCTAGTACCTTTCTAAGGACCCTCCACTCAGCACCTGGTCAAAGTTGCAAGTGATTTAGAGCCCACTGAGGCTCAAAACAGGCGGTTGCCATGGAATCCTTTTTCACTCTTTTTTTTGGTATTCCCAGAGGCGTTGAGGAAAAATGAACATCAGTGCGGTGAACTATGCACGCGACCCCACATAAAGCAAAAAAAAGCGTTTTCAAAAAGCCCTTCACGCCCTGAACGACCTTCCTGGTTAGCAGTCGAAACTTATTCGACCGCTAAACTATCGAGGAGTTTCAACAAAAAGTAAAAGCCTAATATAGTTTGCCATTGGAGAGTGATAAGGGCCACCAGCAGACGGATAGTGAAAGCTGCTTAAGGAAAGATGTAAGTAGCTTTCACTAAAATCTCGATATTGATACCACCGAAATTCTTTCAACCGCTAAGTCGTCCTATTTTCAACGAATGGTGGGTGATTTCTTTGAAAATGTAATAAGCATCAGATATTGGCCAGCCTTCATTTAGAAGCGGAAACATGATGAAATGGGCCGTGTTCCCGTATTCTGAAAACTAGGCAGTGTTCGAGGTCAGGAAAGAAATCATGTCAGTGGTCAGTACTAAAGGTTTGACTAGAAGTGCGCGTCAGCCAAAGTTGTGAGACGAAGTCGTGTTAACGACAATCTTAAGCTTGTGAGCGGCTCACAGATTGTGAGACTGTTTTTTGGTTACTTTCTGTGCGCGCATTGCCCCGATTCAACACAAACGAGATGCATGTGCTAATCTCACAAAGAACCCGGAAACTTATACCATCTGCTCCAGACATTCGAATGTACAGTTCATATAGACTTGTCGGGTCTCAATCAGCGGTCCCCATCTGCGGCCTTCCCACCAATGGCTGATCCCTCCCTAATTCGATCATTGTTCGATCACCATTGGTGGGGTAAGGCGACCGGACGCGAGCTCGTGCCGAACTGCGCTCGCTGAACCCGACAAATTGCATTGCAACACAAAATGTAGACAACCAGCAACGTTTTGCAACGAACCCATAGAACTTTATTAATAGTGCAAAATTTCGGTTCATCAATTTCCTATGATCAATTCCTATGATCAATCCTTTCTATGTTTTTCATTAAGTATAACGAATACATCTTCGAGCGAGGCTTGTGTGAGGCAGAAATCACTTATCGGTAGGCTTGATGCCATTTCTTCCACTTTCCGGAACACCTCCGAAAATTTTGTGCTATCGTCTTTTGCGAGCTGAAATCATATTCATAGCGGGATATAAGGAGAATCTTTCAACAAGTGTGGGCTTTAGGTTATTCTTGCGTAGACAAGAATGGCTCTATACGAATCTTGATGGCAAAAATTGGCAGTGACACACGCAGGGTACCTCTCATGAGATATCCAGAGGAATTTTTCAAATTGAACAGCTCCGTTGTTGTAATTTGTTGGAAGAGGATGCCTTTCCCGGAGAAATAATGATTTTCAAGGGAACCTTTGGTCGTAGTTCTCTACTAACATTATCCTTTTACCAGCTGGTTTGCCGGCTGATGCCGGGGCGCGTCCTTTTCCGAGTATAAGGGCTTCGCGGGGCGGGTCAGAACGCGGCCGGCCCTTCGCACTTTTTTCCACATATTTCAATACCCCCAGCCTAGTATCCCGGCCTTTTCTTTTATGTGAGCAGATGTTAACTTCTCGAAACAATAGCAGCATGACCTGCATTTTCAAACGCTAGTACGGTGTATGGAATGGTGGTGAGGTTATTGTGTTTTATTCGCGATCAAGATCCTGCACTATTTGATACTGCACATGTAAATTGGTTCGCCAGTTTTGCATACGGTCATCCCTCTTCTGTCCGCCCCTATACATTCCTAGACCTCCACAGTCGCTGCGTGCGCCTCCTCAAGGGGAGCGGGCGGTGATTCTTGGTATCCATGCGCTACCCTCCCACTGGTTCGCCTCGCAAACCCCATGCGGCTTCCGCTCCAACGTTTCCGCTGCGTGAGTAAGGTTCTGAGTGCTTGCAGTGTATAACACAAAAGGTTATGCTGTATACGTTTGGTGGACCTTATTACAATCAAGAACACATTTTAGTTTGTTAATTGAATTAGCTTGCAGTTGTCTCGCTAGCAAGTTGCTCTCCCCCTACCCACCCTTCTCCCGCACCACCGTGCTGCCTGTTAAGCGTGCGCTACGCGTCCGCTCACGTCAAACTACATATTGTCCAAGTCCGGGTGAGGAGTCCAGTGTACGGGCTCATGCAGTGGCCGCTTCTCCTGCCGGCCCTCTTCCACCCCACCCCCCAAACCTATTCCCGCACTGATTCACGTCAAGCCGTCAACGCAAGCAGCTTTGTGAAGCTGTGCTCGGGGTGGTACTAAACTATTGTATGTGTTGTTATAGCTTTGAAAGTAATTATCACTAACTAAAAGAAACATTTTCGCTTGTTCAGTGATGTGGGATTTATTCGCAGGCTAGTCTGCGGTTCTTTCCTCCTCTTTGAGCGCTGCTATTCAAGCGTCCTTACGCACCTTCCTCACCGTACCCGTTCACTAGCTTCCTCAAGGCGCCTTCAACGTGCATGTTTCCTGCCAGCGAAGTCTGTGCATAAGAGTTCCCTGTGATGTGCCAGTGGGGGGGGCGCGGGTGTAGTACCAGATTTACGCTGGTCCCACGATTGTAATGCGACCGTGTACGAGGCTCAGACTCAGCCCCATCAGTCCTTTCTGACCGCTTTTTATCTGCGGCGCCCTGCGTGCCCCGTCGAGCTGATGACGCGTGATAAAGCTAAAGATAAGATAGTCCTCCCCTAGTCCTTAGATAAGAGGGTAACATGAAAGATAAGATAAGATAAGCTTCTACATGAGAAAACCGTAAATTGAAATTCTGTCTGACAACAATAACAAATAACATAGTAACAATACAAGAACGGATCAAGTCGACTTCGTGTCGTCTACACTTCCGGCAGGCGGCGATGATCATCCGCCATGTCAGCTGCTCCAGCTCTTCCTGAAGACATTCAGACGATCTCTCAGCATCTGCCTGTAGATCCGGTACCATGGGCAAAGTGCCTAACTGATGTCCTTCGTCCCTTCGTATCGAAATACCTCAATCACACGTGCCGCGTATTTTCTCGCAATACCAGCAACTCCTGGGGTTGAACTTGCATTGAAGCGGTAAGCACGAGCCGAGACAGTGCTTGCACAGTCCTTTCCGTGAAACGATCTCGTATCTGAGGTCGCCATCGATAACATCGGGGCACGAATCCGAAAAATGTGTTCCGAAACTGTCGCAGAACGCACATTCTCCCACATTTCCCTGCGGTTTTGAGGATCCCCCGATGTTCCTGAAGGGAAAGTTACGTAGAACTTGTTCGAATTTGTCCGCTTGTTTGCGCAACGCCTTGATTCGATCTTCAAAGGAGACGGAACGCCTGACTCGTCGTAGATTATCGAATTTCTCAGGGCTACGGACTCGTCGTTGATGTTTAGTGGAACCTGGATAGTGCCCCAATCGCCGATCTCCAGAGGACGCTTGACGCCGACGTGTGCGCTGTAGTTGCTGACCACGTCCGTGCAGTTCTTCGACAGGTTTTGTTTCCCGTGCTTTTTGCTCATTTTCCTGTTGCTCAACTTCTTCGTGAACCCGCTCAGATCCCTGTTGTTCCTCCTCTCCTTGGACTTCGCGGACCATTTTCTCGAAGTACTCCTGATCATTTACTGGTACTTCCTCACTTCTCACAGTCCTCCTTGTTTTTTCCGCTGGGTCCACGGTCACGGTAAGCTCAGTAGAGCTCGCAGCTTCGGTTTGTGCTTTTATTGATAGAAGCGTCTGCTTCAGGAGCTCCATTTCTTCCTCCTGTTTCTTCATTTTCTCCTGGAGTTCGGTTATCTCCTTGGCTGATGTTTTCTTTTCGGCAGCCATGCCTTTTCGGAGCACTTGTGGTAGTTGGTGCCTCTGGAAAGCGTGCTGGTTCTCTATGGTCGTGACATTGTCATACCGGTTCTCTGTTTTCCTCAACTCTTTCTCGAGCTCCTCAATGAGACGCCTGAGTAGGGCTGATCTTAACTGCGCCCAATCGAGCACTTTCCTTGAGTCCACTTCAAATCGATGTTTCCGATTGAGCCATGCATGTCGATGGATGGAATTCAGCCTTCCAATCACGACTTGTTCCTCGAAAAGTCGATCCAGGAGGGTGTATCGCGTTACAAGCTTCGCGATTTTTTCAGCTGTTTGTTCGGCTGTGCGGAGTAATCTGAGTATGCGGAGAACTTGTTCGCCAGCTCCGCCCAGCACATAATGTTCGTCCCCTTTACAGTGATTCCAGTCTTCTTGAAGGATTGCTGCCAGGTCGACTTGTTGGTGAAGGGCTTCTAGTGTGAGAGTCAAGTCATTTTCGAAGCCACTTGCTAGTTTGGTTGTTGCTGCCTAAGTATTGGATAAGCAGCCGAAGTCGTTGTCTTCGTACCGGTGTTCCATTCTGAAATTGTTGTAGCTTGACTAAGACGGAAAAGTAGAAATTATCTTATGACTACAATTCTATTATTTTAATGTGTACTTGTGTGTTGGCGGAACTACACGGCGCTTATTATGGAAGTGTTTGTTGATTCCCTTGGGGGAGCAGACTTTGGCAAGGTGGTTCGCGATCTCCCATAGCAAACGTAGGGGGATAAGGAAGGTTTTTAAAATCAGCGAACCGTGCCTATGAGAATTCGCATTCCGCCAACTGAGAGAAATATGTATGTGGCTTCTAGCAGTAGAAAAGTGCAAAGAACGCTAGCACAAGCGACTTGTACCACCTGTGGAAAGACATCTCCGATGTGCCATAAGTCCGGCAGCACTGGTTTTCTGCTCCTACGTGGTTTTCACCCCTGAGCCACTTGTTTATTTTTCCCGAAGCAGTGTATGTAAATTTCAGAATCTCGCTAATTTCAAAGTTGTTCGCTACTGTGCCGCACGAAACGGCGCATTTTTGGTGTATGCGAGCTTTATCGAAGCTGAATCGCAGAGTGGAAGTCTTTCCATTTGGATCCCATTCTATGGAGAAACTTGTTGTTTCATACACAACTTCTGCCTTTATAGTTTTTCTTTTTTCATTCGCGAGTTCCAGGGTGTTACCCAGAGTGAGCATGAGAAGAATTCCCAATGAAATAAGGTAACCATCCAGAATTTCGTACGACTCAACGTTGTAATTGATCTTTCTTCTCCGTTCTCTGAGGTTGTAATGTGTAGTGTTACCTTCATCCTTTTGCGCTGTCTTCCGCTTAGTGTCGTCACCATCCTCTACTTGTACATTGTCACGCTCCTCCTCGCTGTCTTGTCTCCCTTGTAGTGTTCGAGTTCCAAGGGATCAGCTGGTTCACTGGCCTTCTGATGGACCGGTGTGAAGGAAGCTTCACTACTGCTTCTCTTATTGCACCGTTGTGATGGACCAAGTCGCTCAATCCGTCCTATTCGCCAGGAGTGTCGTGGTTGTACAGGATCACTTATCAGGACTAACGATCCTTTTGCTGGATGATGACTTGACCCTCGCTGTTTTCCGACTTCTAATTGATGTTTTTCTCTCAGCGATGTCAAATACTCGGCCGCCAGGTCTGCCAGAATTTTTCAGTGAGCTTGCAAGAACTTCGCAAGGCATAAGTGGCCTGGGCTTTTGTGCGTATAGCGACTTGCTCTTCTGGCGGTATGAATGGAGGATCATCCTGTTCGTCAGTAAGGTCAAGAGGGAAAGGCACTTCAAACTTATTCTGTAAGAAGTCAATGGGTCGTAAAACTTGTTCGAATTGTGAGTTTGCTTCCACATACAACAGAGGTCGTGTGTTGAGCAGGGCTTCGATTTCGATGAGGATTGTGAGCAACTCATCATGTGTTGGCTTTGCCCTTCCAAGTGTTTTGAACAGGGAGTATTTGATGGACTTGATGAGACGTTCGTAAAAGCCTCCCTGCCATGGGGCATAGGGGGTTATGTAGTGCCATTCAATTTCCCTGTCACTGATTAGGTGCCCTATTTCAGGATCATTTCTGGCGCTTGGAGACATTCTGAGAGGATTACGTCTCCGAGAGAGAATGTCGGGGCATTGTCACTTGTTATGGAATTCGGTACTCCTCTTCGACTGAAAAATCGTCGTAGCATTCTGAGGAACGCTGAGGTGGAGAGGTCCGAAACTGCGTCGAGGTGGATTAAACGCGTTACCGCGCAGGTTATTATACTGCCATAGACTTTCCCCTCCACACCGTCGGAAGCTGTTATTGTAATTGGTCCAAAATAGTCTAATCCGACATGGCAGAATGGGCGTGATTGCTGCACTCGTCGACGGGGAAGGTCGCTTTGGAGTGGATACTTGTATGGCATGTTGTTAAATTTCTGGCACGCGACGCATTTCCTGATTATACGAGTGACTTGTGCTCTTAATTTAGGGATCCAGAAGTGCTGTCTCACAATCGACATAGTGTGTCCTATTCCTGGGTGTCCTTGACTGTGTGCATCCCTTATGATGGCTTCCGACAGCCAAGAGTTCTGAATTACGAGAACGGGGTATTTAGCCGCTACCGTCAGCTCGCTCTGTCCTAGTCTTCCGAAGCATCGAAAGAGGTTATCTTCCCCCATTTTCACATTGAGGTGATGTAGTCGTTTCAGCAGAGAAGGAGTGATAGCGGCGCGTTGGTGTACTCTGACCAGAACCTTTCTTGCGAGGGCTGTTTCTTTCCCTGTAATGTGTGTACTTCCATTGATTTGACAAGGAAATGAAACTCGGATCGGACTTGAGCGTCGAACGTTGATAGTTGAAATAACGTTCGAAAGAAACCGGAGTATACGTGCCATAATTCTCTTCATTACTACAAAAGGTTTTCCGGCTAATGTCGGGAAAGGTATGTTACTCCCCTTTTCTTCGTCCCTCTTCTTATGTGAACTTGTGTATAAGACTTCTTCCACGTTCGGTGGTAGAGGGAGGTTTTCTTCAGCCGTGGTGTCTTCGGGTGTCATGAGTCGAAACGCCGTATTCCATTCTTCAATAGGAAGTCTCAGAATAGGTGGTCCTTTCCACCAGAAGTGATGCTGTAGCTCCACTTGTGTCAAACCTCTCGTTGCACAATCAGCCGGATTATTGTGAGAAGAAATATGCCCAAAGAATAGCTGGATTCCAATGGATTTGACATGGTCAGCTATTCTTTCGATTTCGACGAGCCTGTTGAAGATCATGACCCCTACATCTTTGAGCGGTCGGTTCTGTATCCAGCTGAGGGCAATCTCTGAATCCGATAGAACGACGAGTTGTCTTATCTTTAGAGAGGATCGAACTTGTGTGATCACTGCATTACTTAATCTCATGGCGAGTGTTAATGCTTCTAGTTCCATTTTTGGGATGGTATTTTTCGACCTGAGAGATGGAAGTTTGCTTTTGGCCATAAGGAGGTCACAGTGTTGGGGGGACCTCAAGTAGACACACGAGGCTATCGCTTCGTTGCTGGCGTCAGCGAAGGTGACTAGAACTGCCTCGGAGTACTTTTCCGCCATGAAACGAGGGAGCATTCTTTCAAATCCGTTCATCCCTTCGGCGATTTGAAGCCATTTTCTTGTAAGTTCTTCTGGTAATGGTACGTCCCAGTCATATCGTTCTTGCCATAGAAATCGAAGAAAGAGCTTGGCCCTATGCAATAGAGGTGCTAGCCATCCCATAGGATCGTAAACAGTAGCTATTGCGCTTGTCACAGTTCTCTTGGTAACGTGATTCATTTGTGGGAGAGAACAGGAGACTTTTAATGAGTCGGAGACGATGCCCAAACAATGCCGAGGACACGTGGCGATATTTCTGCGGACTTGTCGTTCTCGGCTATGCATGCTAAGAGCTGGGTATCGTTGGTTACAAACTCTCTTATGTTCATGTGAATATCCTCGAAAATTCTCTTCGTTTTCGAATAAAGCTTGATGGACTCTTCCAGCGAATCCGTTGTGAGGATCAGGTTGTCCACGTATAGGTTTTCCTTCATCTCCGCTATCATTCGAGGGTCTTCTGCACATTGATCGAAGTGATAGTGTGTAGTGGCTGCCAGCAAAAACGGCGAAGAGTTAAGGCCGAATGTGACCCTGGTGAATCGGAGTATCCTAATATTTTCACCACACGGTGGAAGCTTGTAATTATGCAGCCATAGGCAGCGTGTAGCATCCCTATCGATTTCATGAAGTCTCACTTGTAAGAAAGCTTTTTCTACGTCCGAAATGAGCGCGATTTTCCCTATTCGGAATCGTAAAAGAATTCCGAACAAAGACGGTAAGATCACTGGGCCTCTGTAGAGGACGTCATTGAGTGATGGGCATCCTTTGAAGTGCGCCGACGCGTCATAAACAATGCGGAGCTTTGTCGTTGTCTTGTGCGGCGTCAGTACTCCTTGGTGTGGTATGTAGTGCACGCGTGTCGCACTTGGCCCATGCTTGGGTACCTCTTCCAGAATATTTAGGTCTAACTGCTCTTGGAAGACCTTGTTGTATTGTTCCAGAAGACTCTCGTTTTTCTTGAGCGTGTTCCATACGCTAACAAGTCTATGGAATGCGATAGACTTGTTATCTGGAAGTGATACGGCAACTTCTTTCCAAGGGAGGCGAACGTAATAACCATCATCCCTTCGTTCAATTGTCTTATTGAAATCCTCCCAGACTTTCCTATCTTCTCGAGAATGTATATCCTTTTCGGAACTTGTGAATTCTTCCGTTCCACTGGACTCCAACTTCCAGAAGCTTTCCCATTTTTCTTCTTCACTGTTTTCCGTCCTGGATGGTATAATCGTGTTAATCTGCCCATCTAGCGACCAGTAACCGTCCCATTTCTCCATCTCTTTGACTGAATTGCTCCCCTCTTTTCTTTCCATTTGACCAGTAAGGAGGTGGCCAATACGGGTAGGGAGAAGATTTAGTCCTGACGGCAGTTTGATATGGGGCTGCTCATCGCGAATGAGATCCCACAGTTGGTCGCTCCCGAGAAGTACTTGAGGCCTTAATTCTGTGTTTTGGTTTCTTAGCACTATATCCGGATCCAATGCTTTAATGAACTCTTTATCGTCTTCTCGTAATGGAGGAGCCTTGAAAGGCTTGGTCAGGATATCATGCGTCAGGAGACGCAAAGAAAAGGGTTTTCCGTCTTTGTCCCATATGTCGAGAACAACGTGATGGCATACACTTTCCTTTACTTGTTCGTCTCCGAAAGTATGAAGTCGTAGCTTTACCGGCCCACTTCTCTGTAGTCTGAGCTCCTCGGCCAGCTTAGAGTCGATGAATGAAATTTCCGCACCTGTATCCAAGAGCACCAAAATTTTCCGCAGAGTTTTACTGTTCGGATCTAGCACTGTTACTTCTCCGGCTGGAAGGAATGTTTCCGAAGGGTTCCTCGGGCTTCTTAGAGATTGAAGCTCCAAGACTTCATTGAGAGGTTCATCCTGCCCAATAACATTCACTTTTGTATTGGGCTTGTTCGCGCTCCTGGTTTTGTTTGCTGAAGTTGGCTGAGATGTTTTCCTGTTGTCTTCCTTCTCGCTCGCACTTGTTTGTTTGGGCGCGCCGGCTAAAAAACAGCAGGAAGTGTGGTGCGGCTTCTGACATTTGAAACATTTCTGTTTCTTACATTGCGTCGTAGAGTGGTCTTGTGAAGCGCAAATAAGACATAGTCCATTATCGCGTAAGTATTTCGATCTTTCCTGAGGTGTCTTATACCTGTCGCACTTAGTG